TTGGTGCTCTCGCAACCCTGCCCCCTCCTCTTTCCCTAATTTTAGGCATAGGCCAACCTCCCTGCCTTTCCTTTCATCTTTATGTCTCCCTCTCTAGGCGTAGGCCAATGCACTGACTGACAAATTCGTTTACCTCGGAGGAGCCGGCGGGCACATGAGCGGTCGCACGGGGTTAATGAAACTGCTGTCGCGCCTCGGCAGCATCGGCGGCGGAAGCCTGCGTCCACCTCGCGCTATGAAGGAACCCCTGCCGTCCCTGCCGTGCAATTTGCGTCGCTCTCGCACCAGGGCTCCGTGCAGCTGCACGTTCTCGTCTTGCAGAGTGCGCAGCTCGTTCCGCAGGCTGAACCTCCTCTCCGCCAGCGTGTCGGCCAGTGACTCCATCTGGGTGATCATCTTGCTAACCTGCAGGGGAAGCTAAAACTCATATATAAAATAGAAAGACTGCTTCCTTTTAACCCTTTGTGAGGCTTGGACACGACTGTGAACACCCCCATCTTCTGGCTGTTTGAATCAAGTAGGGATATAACTCCACAACGTTACTTGTTGAGCGAGTTGGGAGATGTCGTTTATACAAAAACAAGACAACAGATGCGCGGTCCTTTCGAATCAATTCAGTTGGAAAAACGCACTGCGTCTTCGTCCCGTTGCTCGTCTCTTGTCTTGTGTTTCCGCTCAACACCGTTATAAATCAACTAGAGACTGAGAAAAAGCAAGACATTTCAAGCTGTGGATCAATCGAATGTCCGGGATAATAAATATTTCCTGATTTAACGTCATTTAGTAGTTTACAGTTGCTCAAACCACTCTACATTTGATGACTTATTCAACGTCCTGCTTCCTAGGAGGATTGTGTAAAGTATAATTATTTTGCTCAAAATGAGCATCACCAAAGGTCAACTTGCACAACATTTCTAGTGTGACACATTTTTCCCCATCTATTTTAAAACATCAGCCCTTATTCCCTGATAAAAAAGTATTTATTCTGCAACATAATTAGGATTAGTGTCTTTAACACATAGAAATTTACATATTGTGATAACATTTTTTTCTACGATAGAATATTGCGTGCCCTGAATTAATGTCATGTCCAGTTGACAAATCGCACACAATACAGGGCGTGTCTGAACCAAACCTCGGTCTTGCAGCGACAGCACATTCTGCATATATTGGGCAATCTGACACCTTCATGAAATCTTGCAGTCATGCTCGGTAAACAGACAGACTTCTTGCACAATTTTTTCCAGGCAACGGGCGAAACAGGCACGGATGGGCGCAAACTCCCAACTCAATGTATTACCAAAATGAGGCACATATTTAACCTAAAACACCAACGTCACAGGTGCACAGTGTGACAAGGTGCATCAGCTACTTCTTCACCCTGTCATTTCCTCTTCTGTCAAGGATATCGACGTCATTCTCATGCAGTTGCTGCGCTCCTGTTGCATTTGAGCCGCCTCAACAGTCTCTTGTGTGCGCTGATCACCGTCATGAAAAAACAACAGTGCGCGCTTCTTGGAACATTTTGCAGCCACACTCGTGGCAATGGCAGTCAAAATTTCCATCGTTGCCCCGTTCCGACCGTCTCGCATGCTCACGCCGGTTGTGGTTTAAACAGTGTTTTTTTTTTTGCCGAACGTTGAACAGTCTCTTGGGCTCAAGAACATTGAAGAGACATTCATCTCTCCGTAACTATTCCGTACCCCATAATTTTATTAGCATTCATTCTTACTGTGCACATTTCACGCCACTCTCAAGATTTTATTACTCATATATGCCACCTATCATAACATATAGCCACCTATTATAATCATCGCTCACATCTCTTGTCCCATGACCTGGCGCTCTTTGGTCATCAAATGGCCCTTGTGCCACAAAACACCAAACATACCATACTTATATATGTTTGACGCACCTATATTGCGCGTAATTTTAAGCCTTTATGCACCTACTTAACACAATCATTGTCGACATCTTTATCTACGTGAGCTTGTGCCCATAGTGAAGAAAGGACCCTTGCGTCATGAAACCCCGCATATCACCAGCATCTTTACAACTGGCCCAAGCTTTCACCCTTGTATGAAAGTATATAGACTTGCCTCCAGCAGGGCTTTCTTGAGTTGCGGATGGTCTTCGGGAGGCACAGTGTCCAATGAGTCCTCGACGGCGACTAGGTGGTCCTTCAGGACTGCCGCGTGCTCCTTGTAGGCGACCAACGCGCTGCTCGGCCCACCGCCGAGTATGCGATATGGAATGAGGCCTGTGCTTGGACCAGCCTGCGTTTTGCTCCGTACGGTGCACAACGGTGTAGTCCGTAGCGGAAGCATCGGAGACAGCCGTGGTGGCGGCGACGGTACAAGTGCGCCCGCCCTAGCATCGACCAGGCTTGACGGCAGCTCGATAGCGCTCATGGTTCCAACAGACTAGACTACTTGGGGCAAATTTTGTTCGCATCGGTGCTGGCCTAAATGCTGATGCTGATGCTGATGACCTTTGATGGATGGCGCTTACCCACAAAGGGGGATGGGCCAAGAACCGGGCGGCCGGATACTTCAATGAAACTAAACTGAAAATGAAGCCAATCTGAAAAAGTAGCTTAAAATAATACTACCAAAAAACAAAAATGTTTGCTGAGCAAGCGGTCAAACCATCTTTTGTTTTTGAAAGACATAACTACGAATTATAAACTAAACATCTGAAAAGGTAGGGGTTCACTAGCACGGTAATTTTTTAGTTGCGTTGATGTAATCAAACACAGCGGAGCATACATCCCTGTGGCAGTAACCAAATGAAGTTCCGCCAAGTGATAAAATTACTGGTAGATTTATTTGTATTCCTAGCTTTTGTGATGGGGCTACTAAAAATCTTTTTCTCTGATAAGAATAACGATGACAGAATAAAAAAATGTTCAATTGTTTCAATTTCGTTGCACCAAAAGCATAGCGGTGACGCATTGAGCTGAGCTTTATTAAGGTAATAACTTAGTTGTGGAACTGCACAGCGCGATCTGGTACAAGTGACCTCTAACTGGCGAGATACACAGCACTGTTTATTCCAGCAATAGCTGAAATGCTCGAAATCTTTGAATTAACCAGCTTGTTCCATAGAGTTCGGTGATGATGATTGGATTTTTTCTTTTCACGTGGCGCGTGCCCGAAACGGAGGATAAAGACAGAATTGTTTAGCTGGCCGTTGAGTTCTTCTCGAGAAAATTAGATGACGCTAGTAACCTCAGGTTACAGGCAGTTAATACACGAACCACAGTTTTGTGCAGTTGGCAGCCACGTCAGACAGACGAGTGGTTAATTTTCGCAGAGCAGTTCGAAACAGCGATGGCATATTTTGCCACTAACGTATTTGCTGGAAGTATTATTAAGTGCGATTGAGTGCTTTTGCTCAACAAAATATATATGGTGGTTTCATACATTTTTGTTGTTAAGTGACGGCAGCAATATTGGCATTGAACGAGCCCTTATGGCTGAAACTTACTTATTGACGAGCCAACAAAGACGACTCCGCAGTTACGATGATGATGACGATGTCCCTTCACATGTGACTCGTACCCACAATGGGAGATTAAACAGACACCTCTTAACCATCATTCCTGTGGTCGAACCTGCTTATAACAATACCAGTTTTAACAATATATTGTGGCGAACTTTCGTGTTTTTTATGGTGAAATAACGTGTTTACTAGAATACCCCCATGTCTCGCCGCACTGGTGTAGGGGCTTAGGTGCGTGGTTGCTGACCCGCAGGTCACGGAATTGAATCCCGGCTGCGGCGGCTGCATTTCCTATGGTGGCGGAAACGCTGTAGGCCCGTGTGCTCAGATTTGGGTGCACATAAAGAACCCCAGGTGGTCGAAATTTCCGGAGCACTTTACTACGGCGTCTCTCATAATCATATGGTGGTTTTGGGATGCTCAATCTTACATATAAATTATCGAGAATGCCCCCATACCGCATATTTGTGGTGTCAAGCTAGCTTTGGTTCTGGTTCCGCTCACAGGAATGCCGCCCTCAGGGAGCGCTCTATAGTGGCATATATGGACATGCTTTTCTATGGTTGGCACTCATGTTTGCGAACGGTGGGTGCTTTCTGATTTCTAACATCTCTCCATTTGTAAATTTCCGCATCGCTTAACTTCCACATATACAAAACCAACCATTTCATCACCAATCATGTGCATTGCTAAAGTATTTTTTATTGCAATAGCTACTAGCCGCGTAACCTATTGGTCGAAATAGTTTGTACGCATACTTGTAATTAGGTACATTTTATTAAATAAATTTTTATTTGATTCGATTTAAATTGATTTCAACTTGATATTCGCCTTCCTTGTGAACGATGAGTGTTGCCATGGGACCAAAAATGTAACTAGTAACCATGACGAACTCAATAGTCTTCATTGCGACCGATGAGTGCTGTCATGAGCCCAAGAATATAAGTTGTAAGCATCTTGAACTTGACATTCTCCTCCTTTACGAATGATGAGCGTTGTCGTGAGTCCAAGCCCTCCATTATGGCGTCTCTCATATTCTTGTAGTTTCGGGACGTAAAACTCCGCAAAATATTACTAGAATATCGTTCAATCAATGTGTCACGAAAATAATGCTGTGTATTCGTAGTACGATTTCTCGGCGACATTGCTGAACGCACTCGCGTCTTCGCGGTACAAATATAATCGACGTTTTTTTCACTTTTCGTCGTATTCAAATTACCGTTCCATAAATTGATTGAACCTTATATATAGACGCTCGTGTCTCCAGTCCAAAACTGAATTTTTAGGCACGTACAAGAACATTGTAGTCGACCCTTCCGAAACTGAAACACGTGTATGCTGCGTCCATCCGCGTCATTGTCGTGTGGTCACACTCCCGTACTCTACCTTTGTTGCAGGAAACTGTCTTCTAAACACGTTGTGTGCGATTCGACAGAGGCGTGGTGTTATCAGCAGTGTCCGTTCTAAATAATGATTGTACAGTATCCAGAATTTAGCGTGTTCATGTGGGGTAAAAAAAAACGCAATCGTTCTCGTGAATTTCTCGCCTGGTCCGAAACTCTGACATCAGTTCTGCATGCTTGCGCTGTTCGAATCAGTTGGGGGTTGCTGCTGTACCGATGTTGGAGTTTCAGAAGGCGTTGAATCCTGGGCCAATCCTGAATCGGCCTCCGTGAGTGCGCTGTTCAGTGTGGCTACGGCAGGCCTACTCGAGCCGTCGCTATTTTCGCCGCTGGTCGTCGATGTTCTCGGAGGCCGGCGTACTCTCGACCTCTTCGTGGATCCGCGACCCCTTCTTGAGGCGTTGCCCGTTCGCCTATTCAAGCCTGCGATGTTTGTATGTGGGGATGTGACGTGCAGAGCAAGAAGCTTGAGCCGAAACAATAAACGCGATACAAGCTGCCTTGTCTCTGCGCACTACGTCTTAGACTAAATGTAAGCACAATCGAGAGAAGCCACAAACTAGCCTCTATAGAGAAAAGTCTAGCTAACGATCGTTAGCGCAGCGTTCTGCCCTTCATCACACTAAATTATATGCCTGTACTAACCCTTATTACCCCCTTCTCCTGGGGAAACGAACGCAACCATTTTTAGAATGCATATGTCTCTTTTAGCAGAAACGCATGCAGCAATGTTTTTTTTTTTTTTTTTTGGCGGGAGGAGTTCGACCCCCGTTTATATATGTTAGTGTACATGTTCGTGTGTATTCTGTCGCACTCAGAATTAGTTACACCTTGCGAGCACGTCACCGAACGCGCTTAAATATTGTACAGCTGTCAACTCTCATGTCTGGAACGATTGAGCACAGCGCTCGGAACGGCACGAGCGCCGTCTGCCGTCGCTAAAACGCCACATCTGAGCGTGCGCGGCAGAAGTGATGTGACTGCCTTGCATTTCCTACCTTATTTATCTCTGTGGCCATGATGACTGTTTACAAGCTGATATCACCCCAGCACGAACTGATGGCAAGCGTGCAAGCAAGTAGGGGCGATGCGCACTCACAGGAACGGCCGAATCATCTCCTGACAATTCAGAAAACACGTCAGGACTGATGCAACTGTGCGTTAAGCCACACGCTCCCACATTGTACATCATAATTCGTGTGATAGTACGTGTATCCATACGAACGCGACACGGAAAAAAAAAGTTTTTCAGAGCAACATTTTGGACAAGCTGGTATTTCATGAATTTAGCACGACTACCGACGACAAGAGTACGGACAACAAAGTAGACAGAGCCATCGCAAACTTTCAGCTAAAGTTTCAGCCACTGAATCTGTTTATACAGTGACGCAGTGTACCTTACCAATGCGCACACATGGATTCTTTATAAGAACTGCGCATATACGTTCACTGAATAAAACAAACAAACCTTAGACGCAAAAAGTCGCTGTCAAGAAGACAAGCCTGTTTGTCGATGAGGGCCAGTGATAGTGAACTTACGCAAGTGTCACATCATTTTACAACCACCTCGGCTTCTGTGCCTTCGCGAAATAGCTACATTCTGCCACGGGACACAGTCGTACAAAGATTAACGGGAGATAGACCACCACAATCTGGAGAGTCTATCACCAAACCTGTCCCGCCCCGCATCCCGTCCCCCCAACTCAGTGATTTTACGTGAGGTACCTGAAAAGAATACGTGGTTCTATACTATAATCATATTGTGAGTGTAACATTCCGTACGTTTTTCTTGCAAATTATTTTGTTTGCTCTTTGTAGTGGTCACTCTTCCGTTTCGTTTTCAACGCTGCTGCAAGAGTATGTGTTGAATGTTCTCGGCATGTGCACTTGTGCTTCGCGAAAAAGGGGGAATAGCCAAGCAACTATATACACTCTGCAGCTTTTATCCCATTATCCTCATTCTGTAAGCTCGTTATGTACCAGCTCTGATAAATGATTCGAAATTCAATTCGAAAATTCACCTGTCATTGTACCAGTGACGTTGCTTCCACCACGCCAATTTCGGGTAGACGCACGCCCTCTTCTGGCAGTCGCAGAGGGACCGGGACCACTTCCCGCGCTGGCGATTAATCTGCTGGAGGAAGCGCTGCCCGCCATGCTTTCGTTCATCAAGTCCACCAGGGAGGAATCGCTATCGTTTATTGCTCGGAACCTGCACACCATGAGATAAAGAACAGAAGCGTGATGAAAAATGTACTTACAGACAAGTTTCGAACGACGCGATGGTTACAGAGTACGCGAGTGTGAGTGCCGGCGATTGTGGTCCTTCAACTGCGTCCAAGATTTCCATGTGAAAAATCTGCAACGAGCAACGTTAATCCCTCTTCAATAGGAAGCTATTTTAACGAGCACGAAACACACACTGGTGAAATATTGTATGTTTCATGTTGTTTCACGTGTGGATCACCTTTCACGTGAACCAGAAAGTGCGCAAACGTTAAAGGCGCCCTGCAACACGTTTTGAGCGTGGTCAGAAAACGCTGCCGATCGGTAGTAGATTCTCCCGACAACACGCGACCCAAATATTCTGGCACAGCATCCTGCCCGGAATTCAGAATAAATTACGAAAGTCAGCTTAAAATTGCTTTCTTTTTTCTCGACAAATGACGGAAGTTGCTCATATATCACATGTAGCAAAGCCATCCATCAGCTATTGGCTGATTTGAACATGGCGCGCTCAATCGTTACAGAGATCGCCGCGGGAGGCCGCAACTTGTCCACATGTGAGCGCGATCACTTCGAAAAAGCCGGGCATTCAAAGGAAAAAAAGTACTCAATGTCACGAGGGGCGCGTAACGTATTTCTTTGCCCCTTTCATTCCTCTCTGTTCAGCTTGTAGCGTTTTCGTCGGGACGAGAGCACAGAGAATGCGTTGGCAGCGTGCAACAAATAATTGTAAATCCTATCGTGCAAGACGGATTCTTATAATTTTTGGAGCGTTGGATTCGTGAGGAAATAAGCTCTTCCTGTGAATTCATTCCGTGGTTACTTGAGTAAATGTTTCAGGGCCCCTTTAACGTATTGCTATTATTCTGATGTGAAAAACTTGAGATGGAATTCCAATCACAAATGGCTGGCTGAAGCAGCCAGAACAAACGGCAACCGATAATTGTGCCGCAGAGCCATTGCTTTCGGTAGCGAAGCGAAACGCGCGCCAAACCACACTGCTTTCACGGAGGGGTGCACTTGCGGAAGGACTCGCTTTAAGACTCGCTCCATTGTACGGAACTGTTGCCTGCTAGCATAGTATCGAGTGCTGCTGTCGCTGGTGCTACAAGACCTGAGAACTTGCATGATCGGCTGAGTACATGAAGCTTCTAAATATATTTCACCTCTCAGAACGCAAAGCTTTTAAAAAACAAAGAGAAAGAACTGACATGCAATACAGAACTGGGGCAGACAAGTTATACATCAAGGGATTCCGTTTACGCTGTGTTTTGAAGCCGCGTAGAAAGAAACGCGTGGTTTCATTCTGCTCCACCAGGATGTCTCAAAGATCTCTGCTTGTCACAAGAAAACAGGGTGCTCTTTAAGAAAGTTCATTCAACTGTTTTCGAATAAACAGTGTGAGAGTTACTTGGTCCCTGCCACAAGTGTATTTGACATCCAATATCATACTGTCACGTGCACCGGTTGATTCCACGGAAGTAACCTCTACTGAAAGTGAACAGGATGCTCCTTTTTTGGGGGGAACTGTCACTGCATCAGAGCTGACACAGCAGCAGAAATCTGATCCTGAGTTGGTGCTGGTGATCAAGTGCTTACGGGGACAACCCGTTGACCTTCCTCGTGTCTTTTCCCGAAGCCCTTTGTACCGAAGCCTACCAGGATCGACAACACGTACCCAGTATAAATCTCAACTTTAACCAGAATCCACACCATTTCTACCGGTTTCATTTTTAAAAAGGTTTCTTCGCGAATGTTTGCGAATGTTTGGAAAACCGGGAGTGAGAGCTCGACGCGAACGTGTTGAAAGAAAAGAGTGCAGCTCTCCACTCGTGCCTTTAAATAAAAATGAATGTTTGCTGCTTCACCTTGTAAGCAATGGTGGACAAAAAAACGACCTCATTGGGCTGTACAGTGTGGCACTGTCGCGCCGGGGAAGCAGAGGGGGTGGAGGTAGAGAAGGAAGAGGAGGCGGAATCGGTATGCCTCTCCCTCCGTGCAGAGAGGGCCGCCACGACCCCGGCTCTGGGATTTGCGTCGCTCGTAAACCAGTGCCCCTTGGAGGTTGGCGTTCTCGTCCTGCAGCGTCCGCAGCTCGTTCCTCAGGTTGTGTCTCTTCTCGCCGAGAGTTTCGGCCACCGCTTCCATCTGAGATATCATCTTGCTCACCTGCGTGATTAGTTATAGCAGCGGTTCTCAACTCATCAATGTTTCGAGGACCCGTTGTGGACTGGCTTGAAGTGATGAGGGACCCCTCGCAGTTAAGAAAATAGATAGGGGCAGCAAATTAACGCAGTATGCTGCGTGAAACGGGGGCCTTTTATTTCTCCTTCAGCAAATAATTGTCCAACTGAAGCGGCAGGCTAGGTCTATCTATGAGCTTCTCAGTGAGTTGGATGGCCTGCTGCCACATTGAACTTGCTCGTAGTTATGCTTGCATTTGAAATATTTAGGCCTAAAAAGCATGCTGGCATGCACGTGATGAAATGAAGAAAGCTCTAGGGCTAACTCCTGAAGAAGGGCAATCTAAGTCAGGTCTTTCCCAGTGCACTTATTGTGTGCGGTGAAGCATAGCAAAGATTAGACGCGGCTCTTATCACGGTATTTCGCATGTCTTAAAAAAGGCTTTTTCCTTTTAGGGATAGGTTTCGCGCATCCCCAAAAACGGCTTCTTGAGATCAATTTGCGAACGACCAAGGCTTAGCAACACTTTCTACTTATTGTTGCACCTTTGGACCCTCAATAGGATGGATTGCTGGGCGTGCCGTCAATTCGTCTTAGTTCAGTGGTACGCAAAAGGACAGTATCACAACAGAAATCAACACACCCTTGTGGGGGCAAAAATTGCTCAAGTTGTTCGGTGATACTGTAGGGTACACTTTAAGAAGTCTAAAAAGACCCCGTTTTTCCGATGGAGGCGGAAATGTTGTAGGCCCGTGTGCTCAGATTTGGGTGCACGTTAAAGAACCCCAGGTGGTCGAAATTTCCGGAGCCCTCCACTACGGCGTCTCTCATAATCATATAGTGGTTTTGGGACGTTAAACCCCACATATCAATCAATCATCAATTAAAAAGACCCCGCTGATTCACTCTGTAACGTCCTCCTAAAGGGGGGTGACCGACCGTACAGCTTGTGACGTTAATCCAGAATGCACACCGATTTGTAGAGGCTCGTACGCATGCGCTAGAGACTTCGAGTTACGTAGGTCCTAGTAGGCGTCGTCAAATATGTGACGTCATCGCTAATGAAGCGAGAACTTCAAGTTGCCGTCACTACCCATATATTTTTGCGCGTTGTTCTCCCTTACTAGGAGTCTTCTTCAAGCGAGCTTGCTGTCTTTGATATCGCGAAAAAGTAATTTACTCACATTATAATAGTCCTTTTGTTCTTCAGTGTGGCTTTGATGCACGACTCACGAAACACACGACAGCTGGCTCAGATCCCACGGACATAAGTGTCCATTTTAATCCATCCCAATATAAGTAATTATTATTACACTACAACTAGAGTCGAAATTCAATGATCCATTCTCTTTCTGTGGCTTAATTTTCTGTTTGCGCTATCTTGCAAAGGAAAAGGACCCTCTAGAAAAAATCTGCTTTCGTTCAAGCATCGTCAGTGTTGTAACAAACTAGGTATTGAGTTTTGTATCCCAGTCCATAGAATCGTGGTGATTTGGGCTAGCTTGGTCAGTGATCACAATCGTTCTGAGCTCGCGGTATAACAATCGTTTAGTCTATAGACTATTTTATGAATGAGTTTGAGTGAGACTACAGCAGGCTGTTACCCTATCTGTTTTATATCATTACTTACTCAATACTTACTCATACGTCTTCATTCATGAAGCAAATGGTCTGTTAGCAGCAACCATAACAGTTAAACCAGTTGCGAGAACAAAGGGCGTCGATATTTAAACGTGATCAATAAAGAGCTCCGTTATATATGCATGTTAATAAGGCAAAATGATCTTCATAATATTAGAACCCCTATTTGTACACATCATTTCATGGTTCGCCATGGGTTAGCTAATTTTGTTGTTGATGTCTTTCTGAATGCCTTTTTTTTTTACCCAGTCCAAACTGTTTTCCGCTTGTTTTTTTTTTCTTTATTATAACAGTCCTCTACAGTTTTCGATAATATGTGTCAAAAACTCTTGTGTACGCTGCAGTCTGTAAATGTATTTATTTGTCTTACTCACTGCCTGCTGCTGTCCTACGAAGGAAGGCTCTCACCTCGGCTACTCACTGTAGTAGCTTTTTGTGACAGCTCCTATCTTTTCATTCTTCGAAATGTGAATAAACTTCATTTGATTTCGTCTGACTTGATTGATACGTAACGGCGTCAGGGGTTGTAAAACCAACAAGCATTCATACTTCAGAAAATTCAATCTGTAAGTTTGTGTCTTCGTTTGTATACAAGTAGTTGACGAGACCATTAAAAGTTGTGTGTCCTGGCTGACTTTAAACAATCCGTTGTGTTACTCAATGATCAACTACAAAGTGCACTCACCTGGAGAAGTGCCGTCTTGAGCTCCCTGTACTCCTCGGGTGGCACAGAGTCCAGGTTATTCTCTGTGGCCACGAGACCCTCCCGCAACAAAGACAGGTGCTCTTGGAACTCGGCCAGAGAAGGGCTCGATTTTACCGGCGTGGCCAGGACTCTCTGGCTGCCGCTGCTGGCCACTGTGGAGGTGGCCGCGTCCGAACACGTGCTCGTGGAAGCCCCAATTTCAGCGGGTTCTTCCGCAACCGTTGGCAGCTGCGTTGGTTCCGGAGACGCCTCCGCTTCTGACACCGGCGCTGCTGCTCCATCCCGCTGCTCGGAGCTGCTCATGGTCCTAGAAATCGGGTTCCGGAGGTTGAATTTTGTCCAGTATGCCTCACTGTCTTGTTGTCGTTTCCCCGGTTAGTGCCACTAACCCACTTCGGTGAAACTCTGAACAGCTCGAGATTGAGACCTTAGAACCTGGTGCCAGGAGGGTAGATCAAAAGCTGTTGTAGCTTCACAAGTATGCTTAAATTATCAAGAATTGTCACTTTCAAACGTAGCCTTAGGTAAACCGAGATATTCTTCGTGAATGGAGCTGTAATCAAGACGCTTTTTTTCGTAATTTTAACTGTTCCACCAATATCACAGAATAATATTTAGAACTGCATATATTCAAGACTTCAATAAAAGTTCCATGTTCTTCGTGAATCCCGCTAGGTCTGTGCGACAATTTCCAGGTTATTCTCTATACTTTTCGCATGCACAGCGAATGTCCACGGATGTATCTCCCACTACTACCTATGCAATTGGTTAATTATTCTTTATTGTAATTTGATATCTATTCAGCCTGATGAAATTATAGCGGACACTATATATATATATATATATATATATATATATATATATATATATATATATATATATATATATATATGAGGTCTAACAGACAATAATGCCAAGGAATGTATAGGGGAAGTTATTAGAACAAATGGAATGTAAATAAGAAGAAAGAAAAGAGGGTGAAAAAATAACCAGCCGTGAGCAGGAATCGAATCTACGACCTTCGAATAACGCGTTAGATGCTCTAACCACTGAGCTATGACAGCGGCCTTCAATCCACCCACGTTTTTGGGTTTATATGTGAATTTAGAAGTGGGAGTGTCAGTCAGCGCCCTCTGTAGCCAAGCGGCGAGTGTGAAACACCCTATTATGCGCATGTCTGGCGTCACGTAGCACGTGAACTTATTACGAGCGGGCAGCTGACCAATAGTCGCTCGTATACAACCTAATGACACCAAGTCTGCCAGTACGAGACCCTCGTTAATGAATAAGGGAAACAAGAGTGTACCTAAGCGCTCGTTTTTTTGTGTTTTGACTTAATATTAATGAGATCTAACAGACAATAATGCCAAAGAATCTATAGGGGAAGTTATTGGAACAAATTGAATGTAAATAAGAAGAAAGAAAAGAGGGTGAAAACGCGTTATTCGAAGGTCGTAGGTTCGATTCCTGCTAGCGGCTGGTTACTTTTTCACCCTCTTTTCTTTCTTCTTATTTACATTCCATTTCTTCTAATAACTTCCCCTATACATTCCTTGGCATTATTGTCTGTTAGATATCATTAATATTGTGTCAAAACACGGAAAAACGAGCCCTTAGGTACACTCTTCTTTCCCTTATTCATTAAAGAGGGTCTCGTACTGGCAGACTGGGTGCCTTTAGGTTTTATACGAGGGACTATTGGTCAGCTGCCCGCTCGTAATAAGTTCACGTGCTACGTGACGCCAGACATGCGCATAATAGGGTGTTTCACACTCGCCGCTTGGCTACAGAGGGTGCTGACTGACATTCCCACTTCTAAATTCACATATAAACCCAAAAACGTGGGTGGAGGGAAGGCCGCTGTGATAGCTCAGTGGTTAGAGCATCGAACGTGTTATTCGAAGGTCGTAGGTTCGATTCCTGCTCACAGCTGGTTATTTTTTCACCCTCTTTTCTTCCTTCTTATTTACATTCCATTTGTTCTAATAACTTCCCCTATACATTCCTTGGCATTATTGTCTGTTAGATCTCATCCATATTGTGTCAAAACACGGAAAAACGAGCCCTTAGGTACACTCTTCTTTCCCTTATATATATATATATATATATATATATATATATATATATATATATATAAAGTGATACGACGATCACAGGGTACGAGAGCCGAAACATCATCTTCTGTTCATGCTGTTCTCATGTTTGGTCACCGCGTTTCTTTCACCTTTGACTATCAGCGTTCCCGACAAGATGGGGTTTTATCCAACCTTCAATTTTATATATAATTATTCTTATTCGACGAGATGTAAGTGACCTGTCTTTGAATTTTTCGAATTTTCGTACACTGAAAGCTTGACTTCTAAGGTATGCAGGTAATCCCATTTTCAGTGTTTGTAGTGTGTCAGAGATATGTAAAACACTATATGTCGAACACTGGGAAGGCAAATATGAAGCAGCGGACAATCAATTGTATGTAGCGGTCAAGCAGCGGTCAAGTGACGGTCAGCTGTGTCAAACGGAAGATGAATGAACGGTCATTTCTCTTCCTCCCTGTGAGTGCATCGTCTGTTGCTTGGGCCATCGCTAGTCCAGCAGACGAATACGTACCAGCATACACGAAGAATTCACGAGCACGAGAACATCTGCCACTTATTGTTATGGTCAAGGAGGCAATAATTTTGCCGAAATGTGTATTCAGAGAGGAATAAAGTGCCACATTTATTTATTTATTTTTATGCACCCATTGTTTGACACGCGGTTTATATACAGCTAGCAAAATCAGCTAATAAAACCTGGACACCGTAGTATGCAAGGAGAGCAGATCAAAGATATGTGGCTGTGAGTTTGAAAACCTATTTTGTGATATATCACATTTGCTGGTAAACGAGCACTATATGTGTAAGCTTTTTGGGAGATTTATTACATCATCGAGCATCCAGAGCTTTGTGCGTTCGCAGATATCTATATGATGTGTGACAGAGTTCAGTTATGCACGACGGTCATAAGCAACTTCTGATATGCGGCGAGTCTCTGGATTGAACGTTCGTGCTAGCTTGATTTTGCTAAGTTAGAATAATGGAGGTTATCTTGTAAAGGTATTAAATGTCCGCCAGTACATTCCGCATCAATGCTTCCAATTCTTCTTTAGTGTTTTCGTAGATCAAGTTCATCATTCGATGAAATATAGTGCGAGTGATAGTTTCATATTTGAGTCATTGTAGCCTAGGAAGTTCTACACACTAGAGGGAATCACCTCTTTGTGACTGTGGAGTTCATAAAGCAAATGCATTTTTCGTAGCTCTTTGACTACGACCAAGTAGATGCTGTCACACCGAGGTGACGTGTGACCACTTCGTGATGACCCCCCCTCGCGGGGCTATGATAGTCGTCCACCGCATAATTAAATTAAGTGTTTTCTTTTTTTTCTCCCTCACTCAGCTTTAATATTAGAAGAGCAGAGTTGAGTAGATCCTTGAAATTGTGGCCCACACCAGCGCTGTGGGACTTGCCTGCACCTTTCTTTAATTTGGGGGATTAATTTTAGCAGTGTAGCAAGGTATGGGCGTAGCTTGTCCGTTGCGCGTTATCCGGCCCAACAGATGCGAGACACCCACTATACTACATGATGATGATAATGACGATGATGATGAGGATGATGATTAATAAGCGTGTTAGCGCATAAGTACCCCATGACGACGACTCAGCCATCTCGACAATGCACATGCAAGGTACCCGCTATACGCCATGGCGATGACGCTGATGATGAGAAATTAAAGTGTGCAAGGCAAGACATTCTCTTTCTGGCATAAATGAAAACACTACCGAAAGCGATCTAACCAGCGAAAGTCTAAACGGCCTCGTTGACAACAAGCTGCGATTCCGGAGGTGACAATGTGGCATCCTATGGCATGCTATGGTTCAACGTCTGCGCAGACAGCAACCTACACCAGAGGCAAGACCTCGGGAAGCTGCTGCAAAACTGCAATTCCGATAGCAAGCTCTTACCCTGGAGTTGAGGACGCGGGAAGCGGCTACTCAGGGCGAAAAACGCATTGTATATACTGTACACACTCGCTGTCACTCATTTATATGTGCCAGTGGGCAATTTCACGCTGGATTGGCCGTACGAACAAGTCCCAGTATGACGTCATGATTCAGTTCCTGAATATGCGCACATTTTTCTTTTTTTTTCCTTCCAGAATCCGTTTCATGACTGACGCCTGATAGTGGGCTTCATTGTTCTCTGGAGGAAAAGTCAGAAAACCACCTCGTGCTAGCGCGAGCCATTTCGCAGTGCGTGCTGATGGAATCGGCCCCGCTTCCTTTGCAGGTCGCTGGCCTGCCTTCAAGTTCCAGCGATGAGCACTGCGGAGGTTCCGGCGATGGAACCGCCATGTACCAGCCAGTCGCCAAGCGGATGACGTCCGTGGCGAAGCCGCCACCCACTGCACTGTCGGCATTCCAGGAACACGTGCATGTGCTCAGGCAGCATCTGGTTAGGCGCAGAGCAGTCGCTAGACACCACCGACCCCGAGGACCACTGCTTGCTCAAGAAGGCACTCATACAGGCAAGCTTGACTTGGTTCATTCTAAAGGGAGGGTGTTCAAGGACGGACACTAGGAAGAAGGCAAGACACCACAAACGCCGACTAAAAACTCAAGATGCGTAAGGCGGGAAAACAAAAGGGCACGAAAGCTTATCTGCGCACGCCCATGCAATAACGGGTGAACCTATTATTCTGGCACGCGTAGGGTGCACATAAAAGGTGACTGTTAAGGGCATTTGCTTTCATATTTATGCAGGTTAATCAATGGTTAGCTCGCGCGTTTTGGTAATTCGTGCCTCCTTGGCCTTCCGCCTTTGTGCGCATCCTCAGTCAGTCGGCGCTTGTTGCGTGTTGACTTTCTTGTGTTCGTGTTTACATGCCCTGTCTATCAGAATGAATACTTACCAACTAACTCAGCTCTATTATTATTAAGCTTAAATTTGTCGGAAGCGAAGGGGGAACACCACATTAGAGTGGTTGATCTGAGACGACAAACAGCAATCGCTTGGTCAGAAGCGTAGCGAGAAATATTTTAAGGGCGAAGCGCCTTACGACGTGACTTGGGCGTCCCCGTTGTGGGTAACCGGCCCTCGTTAATTATTGAACCGGCCATAGAGCAGTACTTCTACTATACACTGAAAAATGCAATTGTGTAACACTAGAGGGCGTTACTTGTGGAAAAGGATTGACATCACTCGTACGGAAGGAGAGAGAGAGAGGCTATCACGCGATCGTAGTCACGTGATACAGTAGAAGCAAAGAAGACTATGACGTGACTACGATTGCGTGTTTTTCGTCAGCGCCGTACGCCAG